TCGATGCGCGACCTGCATCAAGAGTCAGTTGTCTAACTGTGGCCCCATACCGTCTCGCGGGGTTACCTCGGTTACTAAGAATAAACATCCAGACAAAAGCATTGGCGGTTTAATAACTACACCTCATTCGTCCACAAAGAATAGTTTCTTGCTACGGTACTAGCCCCTTCTCTCACTGATGTTCGGGTTAGCGTTCCGCATCCTCCTCGCTCCTTACCTCCTCCTGGATTGATCTAGGGGATCCTAGGTACCTGTGGGGTCTTAGATCGAAAATAAGACAAGAGGAAACTACATTGCAATCGGACACGCAAATAACATCAAACATACAAAGTCATTCCAATGATCCTTTGCACGAATACATGGGTTGCAAGGCATTGCCTCAACCCATTGTCCTACCGAACTACTCACACATAGCGATCGGATAGCAAAGACAAACTCACTGAAGACAATATAAAGATAATCGACTGATTGATAATATGTCCTACAATAGTGCCGGATGCGATACACTGACTACAAGTTTAAGTAACTTGGAAAGGGATTGTTGCAATGATGATGATAACAACGGTTATGTACATGCACTGTTCATCCTCAAAATCCATGACTTTTTTTGCACAACTCACATTTCAAGATATTTCATCCTGAAAATTTACACACTTATACATCACATCCCTGTATACTTGTCCTTGAAAAGCTAAGAAGTTTGAATATTGATTTTTTTTTCTCGAAAATTTCAGCCTCCATAGATGCCGAGCTCCAAAACGCCTTGCGGAATACTATATGGAGAAGACACTTTGTCCTTGAAGACGCTCTTAGTAAGAATTCTACGAGTATTAAAATGCTTTGAATTTGAATCAAAGAGGCCACTCGCATAATATTACTATCACGCGTCCACGCTTAGTCAAAGTCTCCGTCAAACACAAGCTCACCAACACACACCTGTCGAGCCCTTGCCCGTCAATGGCGGCAACAACAAAGCCCGGTCGCCTGGGGCAGGAGAGGCCGCAGCGCGCAGAAACGGGAGGCAGCGAGCATGGCGACGCCATGGGACAGCTCCTCGAGCCGCCTGTGGGGCGCCCTGGGGCAGGCCTCCAGCGTGGCACAGCTGGTCGGCGTGGACGCGCTCGGGCTGGTCTCCATGGTGGTGCAGGCCGCCCTGGCGGCGCGGCGCCACCGGGACGCCTGCGTGCGGCTCGCACAGCACGTCGAGCTCGTCGGGGGCCTGCTCGGGGAGCTGGAGCTCGACGAGCTGATGCGGCGGGAGGCCACCAGGCGGCCGCTGGAGCAGCTCGGAGCCGCGTTGCGGCGGTGCTATGCGCTCGCTACGGCGTGCCAGGACTGCGGCTACCTCCGCCGTCTGCTCCTGGGCGGACGGATGGCCGACGAGCTCTGCGCCGCGCAGCACGAGATCGACATGTTCATCCGCCTCATCCCGCTCATCGCCCTCGTTGACAATTCGACAAATACTCGCCGTGCCATGGTTAGTAGTATTGAAATTTGGTGATTTGAGGAAAAACACTGATTTTCGGGCAGTTTGTTTATAATTCGATTGAGCATATCTGTTCAAGTGATCCTTTGCATGACTGCGTCTGACTCCGATTGCAAATTGGCAGTATCAGTTCAACAATTCGATTTCAGTTTAGCAATTTCTGATTTGACAAGGTGTTTCTGCTCTTTAATAAGGCTATGCCTAACCTGAATTATACAGCCTATGCTGGTCAATTGAACATAAATAATATTTGTCACTTTGCTATCCTTGTCTAGCAGGTCGAGGAGGGGGTGCTCAGTGTAGTCACAGATAGTTCAAATCATCACATCAGGTCAGATAATTTTTCATTATGTAGTTTATTATTACTCTGAGAATTTATTCATCATGTATTGATGTTTAATCTGAAGTCTTGTGGTGTCTTTTGACCAAGTAACAACATGGAAGGTTAATCACTTCCCCGGCCAAAAAAAGAAGGTTAACCACTTGGTATGCTGAAAAAGTGACAAGGGACAACCAGATGATTGTTGATTATATTTGGTTGACTAGTGGCTACCGCTTGCTTTAGATCATAGAAGCAGTTATATTTGGGAGTTACAGTACATGTTACATACTTGCAACATATCTGTAGATTTATGTCTGTAATATAAGATGTGCATTAGTCGATGAGTTAATTTGCTTGTCTTAAAATATACAGTGTCTTGACAAATTTCTATTATCTTTGTCAATAAGCGTATTTTTTTCTTTTTAAATTTAATGGGCATGAAGCTCAAATTATGTAACCATGTCATAAGTTTGTCAGTTATAGCCTCAAATGTATGAATTTTGCCACTTTTTAGGACTGTGGTGAAGCCATTGGTGGGTGGTATATAGATATAGTAGTGATGAGATTTACCTACGTTTAGATTTCCAGCAAGAGATTTGGAGTTCACCAAAATACGCGTTCAAGGAGCTACAGAACTTCGCAATGTTCAAGAACAGCCATTTGTAGGTAAGTAGTTACTTCTATGAATTTCCTAATGCGGTTAATCATGGACTCGGATATGGGAAGTAATAGACTGAAGTTTCATGACAGCCTTATTTTCTTCAAGTATTTCAGAATAGCTTTATTACGTCTGTGTGCGGTTGACAGTTGTTATACCCTGCTGCTCATGCTCTTGGGCATATTACAACAGAGAGAATTAAAATGTCCATATGGATGATTTTGATATTATTTTTTGTCATATGTGCATACTTTATCATGAGCAGACATTGTGTCACTGCATAGAATCTACCGTGGCAATAAACACATCTCATGGAAAAGAACTAGTTAGTGGAAGCAACATATGCTTCGGATAGACTATGAACTTCGAACTTCAAACTACTGAACATACAATTCTATAGTTGAGGAATTCATTGTCTAAAAAAATCGGTTTTAGCACATGTTCACTCAAGTAGTTACCACATGAAAAATGCGATGTGAGTGGCAGAAACTTGATCGGCATATTGCATGACTTGCATTACAATCTCCATTTTTTTTTGTAAGATGGAAGTCCCTACTTAGGATGAGTTGATGATCTATGCTATAGACAAATTGGCGTGTGCTCTTTACATTTTGCATTCTCTTGGCCATGTCCATGTTTCTTTGCGATCCAATTTGGTGACAACTGACAAGGATAGCTTATCCACGAGTCAGGCAAAGTGGACCTGCAAGAGCAGAAAATCTCCAACGTTGAAGAACTTATGGAGCTTTGTGCCCATATAGAAGCGACTTGCATGGGATTCTCAAAGTTCAACTTCTTTCAGATCATGGATGGTACAGGAAATTTCTCAGAAAAGGCAATAATTGGACGGGGTGGATTTGCCACGGTTTACAAGGTAAATATATGCGAACGTAGAAATAAACTAAGAAAGTGAATGTGTGTCTTCCTCCGAAAAGCATTCCTAACGGCTCTGCTATGTCGCGGAGTGGGATTGACTAGTCCGGTTTTTTTCCAGCACAACATGCATCGTTGAATAGCAACCTGTATACTTTGGTATTAGATTCCTTGGTCTGATTGTTTTCTATGTACCGGTATTAGTGTTGGATCATGCTCAGAGGGAAGGACATTTGCATGCATACCTATCCGATTCTCTCGCCTCTCTCCCCAAACAAAATCCATGCATTTTATTTCCTTTTAATTTAGATGATTGATATCTTTTAACTTTCCGTTTTTGATTTTTTTATATCTGAATCCCGGTGACAAGACCTGTAGAACAAGACTAATCTTGGATACATTTTAAACAAATTTAAATTTGATCGATTCAATCAACTAAAATATGTGTTAAATCTTTTCTGATGTTGATTCAAAAATAGGTAATAATTCAAATTCGTGTGATCATTTATCATTTGAATGCTGACAAATTATTTCAATCATATTTCAAATCAATTTAAATTATGCCAATCATATTTCATATTTCAACTATTAAATTTGAAAGCTGAAACAAATGAAAGTTGACAAAATATTTTGATCAAATTTCAAATCAAATTCAGAAACACTTCACCTGAATTTCAGTTATTTCACTAAAATGTCAGTGCTTATTTATGATTTTGAAGTTATTTCACTCATTTTCAGGCTTATTAATTTTGCTAAAATAATTGAAATCTATTTGAGATGTTTCAAATAGATTTAAAATTTAGTGACAAAACCGAAACATGTATGAAATAGAAACTAGAAATTGCACAACTGGATTAAGTCTAAATTTGAAATTGTTACAAAACTAATTTTGACCATATATCATTAGTATAAATGAAATATATGAAACAATAGAACTGAAATACATGATGAAGTTAGTAAAATAAATGTTGTAACTGAGATTACTCGGATTGAAATAAGTGACGTGTGTGAAATTAGTATGAAATAAGTGAAATTAAACAATCGGAATAACTGAACTTGAAATATGGTTAAAAATTGAAATCTAAACTAGTCAAATTGTATCCAAGATTGATATTTTTTAAGGTTTTGTCGCTAGGAATTCAAATATAAAAAAATATGTGAAATCCGATTGACTTTTGGTTAGGGAGATACCAATCATCCAAAAAAATCACAATGAAATAAAATGCATGCCTTTTGTATGGGGAGAGAGAATATGGAGGCGTGCAATTGTCCTTCTCTCTGCACTCTCTCACTTCGACGAACACAGGCCGACAAAAGCTCACTTAGTATTTCTATACTTCCGTCTGCAAGTATTGAAGAGTTGTGTGGGTTAATGAGTTATACGGGCAAAAGTAGGCATGGATCCTGATGTGCTAATGGAGGCCAGATTCCACTCGGCCACATGGAAGCTCCATTAGAAAATCAGGATTTCCGTCTTCTTTTCTCCCCAATAAAGCACTGATTTCTTTTGGGAGAATGTTATCTAAACTCCGTCAGGAACCGTTGCAGTGTGAGTTGTCCGATGGAGTTACGGTTGCCATCAAGAGAGCTCATGAGTACGCAACACTCGGCAGTGAATTGCAGCTTGCAAAGCTTCAACATACCAATCTGATTAGGTTACTGGGTGGTGCATTCATGAGAAAGAAAGGATTCTACTCTATGAGTTCATGCACAATGGTTCCTTGGACCGTCACATATACGGTATGTTTTCATTATGATCAGACATCACAATTATTTTTTTCAAGCACGCTTCATTTTATTTTAAGTATATGTGGGTAGATTCAAAACATTCACAGTTACATGCAATGCTACGATAGCTCTCATTCAGCATCATAATCAACTTATAACTATTCTAGTTTGGTTTACATACGAATATAAATTGCAATTAGTTTTGTCTAAAAGATAATCTTCATTTCAACATTTTGCAGACAGAACAAAAGGGCCATTGCTAGACTGGTCTAAGCGACTCAAGATAATCAAAGGGTTAATAGAGGGGCTTGTTTACATGCACAAAGGCTCCATGTTATGGATTGTCAATAGGGACTTGAAACCAAATAATATCCTCTTGGATTATAACATGAACCCAAGGATTGCTGATTTTGGATCAGCTAGAGCACTGAGTTCAGATGTAGCAGAAGAACATACAAACATGGTTGTGGGCACTTGGTATGAGCTCAAACAATTCGTTACAGATTCCACCATTGCAGTTTTGATCTCTTTTGTTTGCACTTTTCAGTGGTTACAAAGCTCCGGAGTATGCATCTCGAGGAGTTTACTCAGTGAAGACGGATGTGTTCAGCTTTGGCGTCTTGGTTCTGGCAATCATAAGCGGACGGAAGAATACCATACTCGAGAAACAAGGGGATACTGTTGGTGACCTTGTACGCTACGTGAGTGAACTGAACAAATATAGACTTATCATAGTTATACATTGAATGTTATCTCTCAACCATACCTTTTTTTTATAAATTACTGCTGTTCTCTCATGCCAAGTTTATTGGAAAACTATTTCAGGCCTGGCATATGTGGAAGGACCAAAGATTGCATGAGCTTGTTGATCCGTCTCTAGGGAACGGATATGAAATCGCCGAGATAACACGTTGTGCTCAGATGGCACTCCTTTGTGCCCAGGAAGATCCAGCAGATCGGCTCACCATGACAGATGTTGCCACCATGCTGAACTTTGAAAGCATGAGCTTATCAATGGAGCCTAAGCAGCCTACAGTGCTGAGTAAAGTAAGTGATGGTGAAAGCACGGCATCTACATACATGGGCCAATCAAGCAGGACAATAGACATAACCATCACGAGCTCAGCTCCCATGTCGACTAGAGTTCGAATCGTTCTGAACCCGGAGGTTTGATATGAAGAAAATAATTCAATGGTGACATCATGTATCCATATATAGTTGAAATGTGAATAAGGGCCATGGGCATTCGTCGTCCAGGATAGTGGACCAATTCCAGATATTACTGTGAAGGGGCAACTTGTTTTTTCTTTGGTCAAGCCATTTTTGTGAAAATATCAAGATAAAAAAAACAAGGCCTGATTTTTTCCAGGGAAATAGTGGGTTTTATTCCTCGGTAATAGTGTTACAGTATGCTAATACAAAGTTAGGGACACTGTCTGGAACATGGCGCAACCAACAAGTAGTGCTACCTCCAGTACATCAATATTAGTTGGGCTATAAGCAACTCTATTTTTGGTGACACTCAATTTTCTGCGGAATAAACCCACTTGCTCCCGGAAGCTTCTTGATTTCCATCATAAGGTGTCCATATTGTATCGATCCAACGATGACAGTCCTTGCAAAACAACACTGCTCTGCAGATTCAAAGGCATCTTTGCAATGAAAAAGATAATGATATGCAGAGAAGATGACGAGAGCAACTAGTTAACAAGCGCTCCTTCGGGAGCCTCGTAACGATCAGCGTCACTTGGCGCGCTCTCAGCCATTTGTCACGTGTCGCGCTTTGGGCGCTTCCTCCGGATTTTGTTTTTTAATTTTTCGCACGCATTTTTGACTTTTTAAATGATTTTTTTGGGTTTTTTCGACGTTTTGGTTTTCCACCGGTCTTCCTTAGCTTTTCAATAAAAAATAATTTATTGAAAAATAATTTTTTTTGCGCCAAAAAACTCATTTTCTTTTTTTTTTCTTTCGCGGGAGTCACGGTTTTGCTTCCGCGAGAGGCACGATTTTGCTTTCGCGAGAGTCACGGCCATGCCTCTCGGAAAGGGAAAAAATAAACGCGTTTTCTGTTTTTTTTCTTTCGCGAGAGTCATGGTTTTGCTTCCGCGAGAGGCACGGGTGTGCTTTCGCGAGAGTCACGGCCGTGCCTCTCGAAAAGGGGAAAAAATAAACACGTTTTCTGTTTTTTTTCCGAGAGTCATGGTTTTGCTTCCGCGAGAGGCACGGTTGTGCTTTCGTGAGAGTCACGGCCGTGCCTCTCAGAAAGGGAAAAGAACGCGTTTACTATTTTTTTTCCTTTCACGAGAGTCGCGGTTTTGCTTCCACAAGAGGTACGGTTGTGCTTTCGCGAGAGTCACCGCCGTGCCTCCTCGAAAACGAAAAAAAACATGTTTTCTTTTTTTTTTCGTTCCGCGAGAGTCACGGTTTTGCTTCCGCGAGAGGCACGGTTGTGATTTCGTGAGAGGAACGGGCGTGCCTCTTTCGGAAAGGGAGAAAACTCGTGCTCCCAGTTCGGTTTTTTCGTCCGGTTTTTTCGTAAAAAAAAAGTTCGTCAAAACCTATCAACATGGGATCTAGTTTTGAAGATATCGACGCGAGGAATCCAACGATGAAAGTGGTTCGAGATTTGGACATAAGGTTTGAGAGATAAGACTTTTTGAATAAACGGATCTACGAAAAAAGGGAAAACTCTCAGGTTGCGACAAGTGGCGCGCTGCATGTGCGCCACTTGTCGCAACCAGGGGAATTGGAATGATCTTTGCAACGAGTACTCCTCAATTAGTGATTTCGAAAGATGACTGGTCCCTCCAAGTCTCTCCAAATCATGCCCGAATCTGCCAACCCAACCCACATGACCCATAAACTCATAATGCCACCCAGCCCACATGTGGTTTAGGCTAATTTAGCATTGGTTGTGTTAATGGGCCAAATTTATGACCCAATATAAAAAGAACGCTATCATAACAAGATTTGACATTTTCATTTTTAGAGTTGTAGATCTAATTTAAATATGATTTTTTGTGACATGATATAAGTATGTTATGGATGTGTGCGTCAGATATTCTCCCCTACGCCCCATGTGCTCGCCCCCTGTTGGTGGGTCAGTTCCTGAGCCTGGAGTGGACATGGTGGTCTTTGAAGCCTTGGTGAAGCCCGCCAGGCCTCAGCTATGGTTACCAATGGGCTTGTCCGATGGGCCCTGATGTCAGCCTTTACTAGGTGATTTCCTGCACACGGGTGTTGGAAATATGACCTAGATGACATAATAACGTTGTCATTATTCTATTTTTCATGTTCATAATTAAATTATGTACTTGTATGATATAATTGCATTTGTTCTTGAATGTGAGACTCAAAGGAAAAACTAATAATATTTGTAGAAATATAAACACCAACTGATCCCTAGTCAAGGACTAGGACATGTACTCCCTCCATTCCTAAATATAAGTCTTTTTGGAGATTTCAATATGAACTACATAGGGAGCAAAGTGAATGAATCTACACCCTAATATATGTATGTATACATCCGTATGTAGTTCATATTAAAATCTCTAAAAAGACATATTTAGAAACAGAGGGAGTATTGTTGATGGTTATGTTTTCCTAACAATAGGCATAGTAAATGTAACAAGCATGCCGACAATAACAAGAACATATTTGTTTTTATGGGTTATTTATATATGTTGGTGGGCACTGTTGTCCTCCTTGGGTCTTAAATATCTACATGCGAGGCATGCCTACGACGACATATCTGGTGCACTGGGACATTTGGTGCTACCGGTGAACCCAGTCACCATAATTACATTTTAAGCGTTGAAAAATCATGAAATTTTGTGAGGATGAAAGTATGGTACATATATATTATGGTATAAAATTCCAGATCCAAATAAAAAGTGCATATCGAAAAACAAAAATGACAATCACAATGTGAATAGTAACTAATGTAAACAAGGCCTTGAATTCAGCCCATTTCTTTATCATCAATGAATTTTGTCATTTTTTTATTCTCATACCATGATTTCAAATTTGGATATGAAATCTTATAGTATGAAGGGTTTTGTTGCCACTACAACATAATTTATTTTCAGATTTTTTTCAATATTCTTAGAATGAGTAATCTCAATCGATGCACCGATATCATCAAATGCCCTGGTGCACCAATATTTTCCCTGCCTACGGGTGTATGCCTCTGGATGCACCAGCGATATTTGTTGGGTGCAAAGATGTGATGCCCCCAATTCAATCGTACACTAATCATACACGCAAACGTGTACGATCAAGATCAGAGACTCACGGGAAGATATCACAACACAACTCTAAAAATAAAATAAGTCATACAAGCATCATAATACAAGCCAGGGGCCTCGAGGACTCGAATACAAGTGCTCGATCATAGACGAGTCAGTGGAAGCAACAATATCTGAGTACAGACATAAGTAAACAAGTTTGCCTTAAGAAGGCTAGCACAAACTGGGATACAGATCGAAATAGGCGTGCTGGTCGTCGTCAGCGGCCTGTACGTAGTAGTAGGCACCTCCGGTGTAGTAGGAGTCATCGTCGACGATGGCGTCTGGCTCCTGGGCTCCAGCATCTGGTTGCAACAACCAGGAAGAAAGGAAAAGGGGGGAAAGAGGGAGCAAAGCAATTGTGAGTACTCATCCAAAGTACTCGCAAGCAAGGGTCTACACTACATATGCATGGGTATATGTGTAAAGGGGCCATATCGGTGGACTGAACTGCAGAATGCCAGAATAAGAGGGGGATAGCTAATCCTATCGAAGACTACGCTTCTGGCAGCCTCCATCTTGTAGCATGTAGAAGAGAGTAGATGGTAAGTTCACCAAGTAGCATCGTATAGCATAATCCTACCCGGTGATCCTCTCCTTGTCGCCCTGTTAGAGAGCGATCATCGGGTTGTATCTGGCACTTGGAAGAGTGTGTTTGATTAAGTATCCGGTTCTAGTTGTCATAAGGTCAAGGTACAACTCCGGGTCGTCCTTTTACCGAGGGACACGACTATTCGAATAGATAAACTTCCCTGCAGGGGTGCACCACATTACCCAACACGCTCGATCCCATTTGGCCGGACACACTTTCCGGGGTCATGCCTGGCCTCGGAAGATCAACACGTCGCAGCCCTACCAAGGCACAATAGAGAGGTTAGCACGCCGGTCTAAATCCTATGGCGCAAGGGTCTGGGCCCATCGCCCATTGCACAATTGCATGTTGCGAGGGCGGCCGGAAGCAGACCTAGCCTCCCTAATACAAGAGCAGGCATTCCAGTCCAATCCGGCGCGCGCCGCTCAGTCGCTGACGTCAAGAAGGCTTCGACTGATACCACGACGTTGAGTGCCCATAACTGTTCCCGCGTAGTTGGTTAGTGCGTATAGGCCAGTGGCCAGACTTAGATCAAATACCAAGATCTCGTTAAGCGTGTTATTATGAAGTAACCGCGAAAGCCGACCAGGGCCAGGCCCACCTCTTGCCTAGGTGGTCTCAACCTGCCCTGTCGCTCCGCCACAAAGATCCACTCGTGGGTACTCTACGAGCCAACCCGACTTTAGTCACCACAGGTATCATATACTATGTATATAAGTATATACCCGTGATCACCTCCCGAGTGATCACGGCCCGATAGTATAGCATGGCAGACGGACAAGAATGTAGGGCCACAGATGGAATACTAGCATCCTATACTAAGCATGTAGGATTGCAGGTAAAGGTAACAACAGTAGTAGCAAGGGCAGGCTATGCATCAGGATAGGATAAAAGGAAAGCAGTAACATGCTACACTACTCTAATGCAAGCAGTAGAGATAAGAATATGCGATATCTGGTGATCAGGGGGGGGGGCTTGCCTGGTTGCTCTAGCAAGAAGGAGGGGTCGTCAACACTGTAGTCGTACTGGGTAGCAGCGGCGTCGGTCTCAGAGTCTAGCGAGAGAAGAGGGGGAAGAAACAATAAATCTAATGCAAACATATGCATGACGATGCATGACATGACAATGAGCATTGCTAGGGGTGCCCAATCACGGTAGTAGGTGATACCGGCGAAGGGGGGAAACATCCAGGAAAGTATTCCCGGTGTTTCGCGTTTTCGGACAAATGAACCGGAGGGGAAAGTTGTGTGTTCGCTATGCTAGGGATGTGTGGTGGACGAACGGGCTGCGTATCC